TGATCTTTATTTTCCTTGCCTTTCTTCTCTTTTTCTGTCTTTATCTTTCAGCCTTGATATGTCATTACTGGTGTTGGGTAGTGGGCAGTTTCTGCTGGAAGGTGGCTGGCATTCAATTGTAACCTTTTGCCCTGTCTGGTCCAGGGCAAAGTCTCCTCAATGGGAATAAAATGCCTTTGCCTTCTTTAGCTCAGTTCTTCACACTCAGGGCTACAGAGCAAAATGCTGCAGTTTCTGAAATGGGAGAACATATTCTGCAGGATGACTAAAATTTCCTAAATTTTTGCAACATGTAGCAAAATGGAGCATAATTTCAAATTGTGTTTATCTGAACTTTGCTTAAAAACTTACTGTGTTAAAGCCACTATTAAATCCAGCTACTCAGGAGACTGAGGTGGGAGGGTGGTTTGAGCCCTGGAGGTTGAGGCTGCGGTGAGCCATGATCACGTCACTGCACTCCACCCAGGGTGACAGAGTAAGACCCCGTCTCCAAACAAAACAAAACCCAGAAAAACTGCTGCGTAGTTACAGGATTCTTCAATTAGTCAGTACTTCTAGCAAGATAATGTAATGAACTCTGGGTACATGGAGAGTTATGTGGTCATTGATAATCGTGATTACTCTGATAGTTCCTGGGAAAGAGGTGTATTTTCTGTCTCTTTCTGCTTCCTGGCCTGATGGGAGTGAGGACAGCTCTGCTGTAGAGATCAGCAGAAACCTGGATGACATGCTGTCTTTTTTGGAAGGGTAACAAGTGAACAGAGAGGGTGAGACCAGGGAATAATTTGGGGGGGTTGCAATTGGTTTGAGGAAAAACCATTTTTTGTTGTTGTTGTTTTGAGATGGAATCTTGCTCTGTCATCCAGGCTGGAGTATAACAGCACATTCTCGGCTCACTGCAACCTCCACCTCTTGGGTTCAAGTGATTCTCATGTCTCAGCCTCCCGAGTAGCTGGGATTACAGATGTGCACCACTATGTCTGGCTAATTTGTGTATTTTTAGTAGAGATGGGGTTTCACCATGTTGGCTAGGCTGGTCTGGAACTCCTGACCTCAGGTGATCTGCCCTTGGCCTCCCAAAGTGCTGGCATTACAGGTGTAAGCCACCATGCGCGACTAAGGAAAAACATTTCTATAGTATAATGTATCATTTCTTTTAATCTGTTACCAAAATTATACTGAAAGAGTTACATTTAGAGTTTACATTTCATGAAAGCAGTTTTTTCACATGGTTCAGGTTTGTTTTTTGCAATCACATCTTGGCCTCTCTGTTTCACCTTACCTAGAGTGTAATTTTGGTAACAGTGATTCAGTAATAACTGAAGTCCTCAGAAACTCTTTCAGGTTTCTTTTGAGTTTACACAGATAATAAAAATATTTTTAAAACATTTTACTATCATTACTGTCTTATTCCATTTTGTTGCTATAACAGTATACCACACACTGGGTAACTTATAAATAAAAGAAATTTATTTCTCACAGTTCTGGAGGTTAGGAGACTCAATATCAAGGTGCTGGCATCTGGTGAGGACCTTTGTGCTATGTCATCCCAAAGGGCAAGAGAGGGAGGGGGCTAGAGAAGGCCAAGCTCACATTTATAACAATCCACTCCTATGATAACAACATTAATCTATGGGAGCAGAGATCTCATGGCCTAATCACTTCTTATTGCCCTACCTCTTAATAACTACCATAATAATGGAAGTTAAATTTCAACATGAGTTTTGGAGGGGACAAACATTCAGACCATAGCAATTACCAGTATGCTATTTGTCCTTTTATTTTCGTTTTCATAGGAAAATGTAATAAATGGAACATACTAGAAGGATCTATGGGAACTACATTCAGGGAAAATGCCATTCCTCTTCAACCAATCCAGGGAAAACATACAGAGAAACTCTAATTTTTGTGAGTTTTTGTTAATGCTATGGCAGTATTTCAGCTGTGGGCCACCTGGAAATTTTATCACTGCAGAAGGTGATATTTCATTATCCAATGCTCAATTCTTTTATACTTTCATAGAGGCAATAACTACATATACTGACAATGAAGATGTTTTTAAATAGACGCATGGGGTTTTGAAGCACTTGAGGTTTTATTGATTAATTGATTTTTAATTTTTTTACTTTGTGTCAAACTTCTCTTAGAATCTGGATTTGGGGGACTGACTTAAGATTGACTTGAAGAAGTCAGTAGGGAACCTCAGGATTTGTCCAGAAGCTGGGAAGTTGTTGTTTTTAAACCAGTTGACTAGTACAGGTGTACCCAAGAGTTTCTCAAAATAAGATTACCAACACCCAAAAGTTACAGTTATCAGCCAGGGCCACAATTCTCTGCTCAGCTCCTCCTGCTGCTGTTCCTCTCTTCCCGAGCGGTTTTCTGACTTTGAGAGCCTCTGCCTGCCCACAGGCCAAGTGTAGACCTCTCCTTCGAGATCTGTCATTGGGAGGTTATTATAGTAGATGGTGATACGGGTTCAGGGCAGCTAGTTTGCAGTTTAGAATCTCTGCCATGTACTGAAGCCCAAAACTATTACCAACTGAGCATACAAGAATATTTGGTGCTGCCCTGGCTTCTTGGCTCTGTCTTCTTATCTGATCTTAGTTGTCAATGATTTCAAGAGCAGACAGCCAAGGAAGTCTGAAGACCAACAAGAAACTTTGAGCAGACCTGGCTTGCAACTATTTATAAATTAATTTTGTTATTCCCTCTTTCCTATATATGTGTAGTTCCGTGAATTCTCCTTTGAATTGGTTATAACATCTTACTGGTTCCCTCATGAATGAGTTACATAAAAATTTTGATATGTTTTCATTTTATATTGTATGAAAGGCATGATTTTTACTTCTGAAAGTATCTTTTAACATTAGGTACACTATATGCTAAGTACTTGTCTAGATACTTTATGTGTTTATTTTGCAAACACACAGAATACATTTTTTTATGCCAGGTGCTATTTTAAGTGCTCTATAAGTATTAACTAATTCAATCCTTAGAATAGGACTATATCATTTAAACTTCTCTTCAGCTCTTAGTAGCCCCATCTTATCAAATGGAGGCTCAGAGAGGCCCAAGGTTATGTCATTAAACTGTAGGGTCTGTGTGAGGCTGAGGCAACTGCCCTCCCCAGCAGGCACTGGGACTAAATGTGTCCCCTCTGAAATTCATATGTTGAGACCCTAACCCCCAATGTGATGGTATCAGGCATTTGGCAGATAATTAGCTATAGGTGAGGTTATGAGCATAGGCCCCCATAATGGGATCTGTGCTTTTATAAGGAGTGACCAGGAAGCTTGCTCTTTCTCTCTCTCCAACATGAAGGTGTCCTGCAAACCAGGAAGAGGGTCCTCACCAGGAACTTGATTGGCCAGCACTGTCATCTCGGACTTCCCAGCCTTCAGGACTGTGATGAATAAATTGCTATTGTAAGCCACTGGTCTATGGTATCTTTGTTATAGCAGCTTGAGCCAAGATATACCCTCTAATAGTGCTGTAGGATGGGGTGAGGAAAGCCCCCAGCTTTGGTTTTTGGGATGCTGCATCTTTATTTTTATTATTTTTTTGAGGCAGAGTCTCACTTTGTCACCCAGGCTGGAGTGCAGTGGAATGATCTTAGCTCACTGCAGTCTTAGGCTCCTGGGCTCAAGCAATCCCCTTCCCTCAGTCCCCCAAGTAGCTGGGACTACAGGCACGTGCCACCACGCCCTGCTAATTTTTGTATTTTTTTTTAGAGATGGGGTTTTGCCATGTTACCCAGGCTGGTCTCAAACTCCTGAGCTCAAGCCATCTGCCCATCTCAGCATCCCAAAGTGTTGGGATTACAGGCATGAGCCACCGTTCCGGCCAGAATCTGCATCTATAAAGAGCAAAACGATTGTGTTGACAGAGGGGAGGGGGCTGTGATAAATGGATTCTGCAGAAGCAGCCCCCAGCTGTGGAGGCCTGTACTCTGCCTGGGTGGCATGTGTCTTTGTCTGACAATGGCGAGGCCCTGGGCAGGTGTGGTGGCCATATGTGCAGTTTCCTACTAGGGGTTCCACTTAAATATTGGTCCATTTCTTTCCTCAGGGGTCCTCTTCCTCCTCAGAACATCTATCCTGGTTTATTTAATTTTTATTTTTATTTTATTTTTTTGAGGTTCGCAGAACATCTAGCCTGGTTTTATTTTTATTTTTAATTTTTTTGAGGAGGTCTTAGAACATCTATCCTGGTTTATTTATTTATTTATTTTTGAGGTGGAGTCTTACTCTGTTGCCCAGGCTAGAGTGCAGTGGCGTGATCTCAGCTCACTACAACCCCCGCCTCCTGGGTTCAAGTGATTCTCCCACTTCAGCCTCCTGCGTAGCTGGGACTACAGGTGCGTGCCACAATGCCCGGCTGATTTTTTGTATTTTTAGTAGAGAAGGGGTTTTACCGTGTTAACCAGGACAGTCTTGATCTCCTGACCTCATGATTCACCCTCCTTGACCTCCCAAAGTGCTGGGATTACAGGCATGAGCCACCGCAGCCGGCCGGTTTATTTTTTAAAAAATGGCTGGGCACAGTGACTTGTGGCTGTAGTCCTAGCTACTTGGGAGGCTGAGGCAGGAGGATCAGTTGAGCCCAAAAGTTGGAGGCTGCAGTGAGCTATGATTGTGCCACTACACTTCAGCCTGGGTGACAGATCAAGACCCTGTCTAAAAAAAAATAAAGTAAGATTATTATCAGAGTCTCAAGGTGACAGTGAGAGGCAGCCTGGTGCAGGGGATAAGGCACAATTGCAATCTGCTAGACTGGGTTCAAATCCAAAATCGGCCATTCACAGCGTGAATAAATTAGAACTGGCTTAAATTAGCATTTAAAATTTCATCAGGATTAAGTAAGTACTTCCTTCTCACTCTTTCCACAGGCGGTGAGAAAGAGCTCAGCAAGGCCCGGGGAGGGAAGGGCGTGGGGATGAAAGGGATCCAGAGAGTCTGTGCATTGGCAGAGAAGATAGTGTAACTGTGGCGCGGCGGCTGGAGGGCTGGTCCCACAGTGAGCTGTAGCCCTGCCCGCCGGCCATGGGAGAGGCTTAAAACAAACGCCGGAAGCAACTCCCAGCCCCAGAAAGATCTGTGACCGGCAGCGCCAGACCTGCCTGCCTTCCTGACTTCTGTTCCAGGGCAAAGGTCATTTAGCCGCTTGAATCAGCCTTTTTTCCCCCCCTTCCCCAACTTTGTTTACCAGATAAGGAAGGTCAGCATTCAAAGTCAAGAAGCGCCTCTTATCTTCCCCTGCGTTCTACAAATAGTTCCGTGAGAAAGATGGCCGGGAACTCGATCCTGCTGGCTGCTGTCTCTATTCTCTCGGCCTGTCAGCAAAGTAAGAGGCATGGGAAGTTCGTGTGTGTGTGTGTGTGTGTGTGTGCGCGCGCGCGCCTGTGTGAGAGACAGGGCTTGCGGGAGAGAGGATAGGGAGGGAGGGAGATAGGTCCGGTGTTTTGTTTCCTACTTGCCCTTGCAGGTGGCTCTGGGTCCTCAGGGTCACCCATGCTGCCTGCTCCCCTCCTTCCCAGGGGCAAGCAGAGACTGAGAACATTCCAGAGATTAGTTCTCCCAACTGGAACAATGTGGGGCCTCAGAGCTCAGCCATTCTGCATCATCTGTAGTTACGACCCCACAGTCCGTTCAAACGAGCATTAGTAGCCTGCTAACCTGCAGGAAGTGGTGTGAATATTAATTACAAGTGTTCCAAAAGAAACGTGCCTGCTTCTAAACCTGGTTGTGATTTCTTGAACGTTGTTTTAATTAAGGTGTTTTCTTAAATAAACTGCCTATGGTGGTATGATTATCAGGCTGAAAAAACTTCCTTCAGAAATATGAGTTTGAGATTAAGTAATTAGCTCTAAATTTTAAAACAGCTTCCCACTAGGATTATTCAATATCCCGACTGCCTGGTTAAATAGAGGGCTTTTACTCCATGGGAGTCGCATTTGCTCAATTCATATTATCTTTCCTACAGTGTCAGCTGGGGAAAAGGGTCCCAGTGCAAGAGTGCAAGACTTCTTACCAAGCATGCATATTTCTTTATATTTCCAAGTGTGCCTGTACCTGGAAATAGGGCCAAGCTGTAGACTGCTCAGGTTACACAAACAGCCAGAAGCAGGAAGGCCTCACAGCTAAGGATCCAGTCCAGGCCTCCATGCATGCTTAATGTCTTGCCTAGCCAGTCTGTTTTGAGATTGTATGAAGATCTTGAACCTTCAGACTCACGTTTTGTAGTTTGATTCACACAATCTGTCGTGGAGAAGAGCAGGATATTTGTTTCTAATTAAAGAAACACTTAGATCTGTTAAAAGGAAAATCCTAGACAAATTACATTTAACTGAGTTTAATTGAGCAAAGAACGAGTCACAGTTGGGCATGGGGAACCGGAATAGGTTCAGAGAGACTCTGGGGCTGCCACGTGGTAGAAGAAGATTTATGGACAGAAAAAGGAAAGTGACTCCCAGAAAATGGAAGCGTACAGTTCACAATGTACAGAGGACCTTTAGGTTGAACTTAAAATATATCAGAAGGCAACTTTAGGCTAAACCTAATTTAACAGGTGTAAGGCGATCCATCCTGACTCACAGGTGCTACCAAACCTGCATGAGCCTTTATCCTAGGCCTGCAGAGGGCACAGGAGCAGGTCCACAGATGTCCCAAGTCTGACAGAGGTGCTCATCCTCCCTGTTTGCTGCTTGTGCAGGAGGCTGTGTGAACTGGGGCCAGAATGTCAGGGGGCTGGATGGAGGAGTGGGTAGGGGTGGGGAGAGAGGAGAGGAGACTGGGTGAATGATGATTAATGGTGGACAGGGAATGTTTAATAAGGCGTTAGGGCTGGGCACGGTGGCTCATGCCTGTAATCCCAGTACTTTGGGAGGCCAAGGCAGGTGGATCATGAGGTCAAGAGATCGAGTCCATCCTGGTCAACATGGTGAAACCCCATCTCTACTGAAAATACAAAAATTAGCTGGGCGTGGTGGCACACTCCTACACTCCCAGCTACTAGGGAGGCTGAGGCAGGAGAACTGTTTGAACCTGGGAGAGGGAGGTTGCAGTGGGCTGAGATCGTGCCACTGTAGTCCAGCTTGGCGACAGAGCGAGACTCCATCTCAAAGAAAAAAAAGATATTGATAAAGAGTTGAACTCTGTAAAATATTTGAAAAGATGTATTCTGAGCCAAACATGAGGGATCAGTGGCCGGTGACACAGCCCCATGAGATTCTAAGAACATCTGCCCAAAGGGGTCTGGCTACAGATTGGTTTTATACATTTTAGGGAGACATAAGACATCAATTCATGTAAGATGTACATTAGTTTGGTCCCAAAAGGCGGGACAACTGGAAGTGGGGCATGGGCTTCCAGGTCATAGGTGGATTTAAAGATTTTCTGATTGGCAATTGATTAAAAGAGTTTATCTACAGACTTCAAATCCATAGAAGGGAGTGCCTGCGTTAAGATAAGGGGTTGTGGAGGCCAAGGTTCTTACTATGCAGATGTAGCTTCCAGGTAGCAGCCTTTGGAGAGAATAGATTGTAAATGTTTCTTATGAGACTTAAAAAGGTGCCAGACTCTGTTAATTCTCTCCTGGATCAGAGAAAAGACCTGGAAAGGGAAAGGGATTTTCTACAGAATGTAGACTTTTCCCACAAGAGACAACTTTGCAGGACCATTTCAGGACGTGACGAAAATATATTTTAGGGTAAAATACTTCAATTTCTTTCAAGGCCTGCTATCTGTCATGTGATACTATACTAGAGTCAGACTGGAATTTGGTGTCTTATTGCTACAAAAAGTCTTAAGTGTTAGTTTTTTAAAGGGAAGGTTAGGGTTAAAGAAAGACACACACACACACACACACACACACACACACAGAGGCTTTACAACAGCACAGGTATATTGCAGAAACCTGTGGAGGTTGGGGACCAGCTTAATGCCAGAGCCCACCATTGCTTACAGGCGGGGTACGTATAGGTATGGGCGGGAGGGGTTTGGGCAGTATGGTCTGCTGCCCTGGAGGATATTGATAAGATGTTCCTACGGTCAGATGTTTTGGCCAGGGATGTTCCCTGGGCTCTTTGTCCAGCAGGATTTGACAGGGATATTTCTTCAGTTGGGACTTTGCTTGGCAGGGTATGATAAGGATGTTCCTGTGTCTTGTGGTCAGGTGGCTAGGCAGGATGTTTCTCAGGGCCTGAACCCTCATGGCATGCTTCACTTTGACTAAGGTCTGTGAAATGGCAGGGGGCTTACAAAATGGTGCAGTTTGGACTAACATTAAGGTCTGTTTTAATGTTAATGCTGGTCAGTTGTGCCTGAATTCCAACGGGAGGAGGATATAATGAGGCACGTCTGACACCTTTTTCCCATCATGGCCTGAGCTAGGTTAACTTTGGAATGCCCTTGGCTGAGAGGAGGACTCCATTTAGATGGTTGGGTGGCTTAGAATTTTAGTTTTGGTTTACAAAGGAGACAGAGAGAGGAAGACACAACTGTTTAGCTGGCATCAGGAACCAGAATTTGCTCCTTTTGCAAGTCTGGTGTTCATGGAGTTGGGACACCATGTGCCATGGTTGAAGCAGCTTAGGTTTTGCAGACAGACAGAGCTGTATCTGTTAGTCTAGCCACTTCCCAGTTAGATGTCCCTGTTCAGGATACACTGCCCTTCAATGTCACCATCTAAGAGGGTTTAATCGGACCTTGGGGAGGAAATCCCACCACAGTGCCTGGCCGGATGTAGGCGCTTAGCACTGGCAGTTCCCATCCTAAGTTCCTTCTTGAAAGAGAGAAGTTTCTGCTGCATGGAGAGGTAGCGACAGGGTGAAGGAACCCAGCTGTGGCTGGGTGGGCATCACAGGGGGTAAGGGGCAGAGAGAAAGCTTCCCCTTCACCCTCAGAAGGTTCACTGAAAATCAACGGACAAAAGGCAGATTAATAGGAGAAAGGGTATGACAATTTATTTAAATATGCACAGCATGAGAGAATGATTGCCCGATAATCCAAAGGGGTGCGGCAGCTTCTATACTATTCTTCACAGGGGAAGGAGGAAATGGGGAATGCAGACAATTCTTTTGAGTGGCAGTAAACGATTATTAGGGAGAATGAATGGACTGGGAGACAAAGTAACTTGCCAATGATTCTCTTTGGAATTTGATGGGCCAGAGGGGCAGGCTTAATCTGGTGGGAAAGTTCGTCCAGGTGTGTGCATTCCTCGGTCTTCTTTTCCACATGAGATAATGAGGTCCGAGGGAGGAGAGGGCAGGCAATTGTGTTTGTCTTAGGGGGTCTGGTTTCTAGGTAGATAAGGGAGCTTCAGAGGACTGCCCAGCCTTATCCTGGGCCTTGGTAGAGACCACGGGTTGAGACAGGAAGCAGTGGAGAGGTCACAAAGACCTCGAGGCTGCTTCTTTAGTTCAGTCATATTTTGAGGTGCAATATTCTGATTTCCTTCGGGGGTGTTAACAGAAATACCAAACTCTGTGAAATCTTTTAAAGAGGTTTATTCTGAGCCAATATGAGTGACCATGGCTCGGAGAAAGCACAAACCCAAGAAACCTTCAGTGGGTGGTCCCAAGGCAATCGGGTTACAGTTTGGTTTTATACATTTTAAGGAGGCAGGAATTATAGGGAAAGACATAAATCAATACATGGAAGGCATCTATTGGTTTAGCCCCAAAGGGTGTCATATCTTAAAGCAGGGGGCTTACAGGTTATAAGTGGACTCAGATTCTCGAATTTGCAATTGGTTAAAGGAGTAAAGCTTTGTTTAAAGACTTGAATTCAGCACAAAGAAATGCTTACATTAAGGTGATGGCTGGTATGGTGATTCATGCCTTAATCAAGCACTTTGGGTGACCAACGTGGGCCGATTGAGCCTAGGAGTTCAAGACCAGCCCGGGCAACATGATGAAATGCTGTCTCTATTAAAAATACAAAAAATTAGCCGAGCGTGGTCGCGCTCACCTGTAATCCCAGCCACTTGGGAGGCTGAGGTGTGAGAATTCCTCTAACCCATGGGTTGCAGTGAGCTGAGATCGTGCCACTGCACTCCAGACTGCGTGACAGTGAGACCCTATCTCAAAAAAAAATAAAATAAAATAAATAAAGAGATCTGTCATGTGATGCTATGCCAGAGTCAGTTGAAAAGTAAGCCACACACTGGGTTAATTTAAAAGAACTGGCCTAATGAGATTTGATGGCTTGTAGGGCGTGACTTAACCATTGCCTTGCAAGGCCTTAGGTCTTGTCTACAAGTTGGTGTCTTCTTACTGCAGCTGGCTTTGTTAGTCTTATGATCTCCATTTTAACCTTAATCCTGGGCAGTTGTGCCTAAACTCC